GGGAGAGAGAGATTTCTCCATGATTTGTGCTGTTATGGGCTGTATTGATGACAGACAATCTCTCCATTTTTCTCCCGCTCAGGATCCCCTCAGGACAAGTCTAGATTGATGTTCAAAATGTATGACATTGATGGGAATGGCTTTCTTTCGAAGGAGGAATTCTTCAGGATGCTGAGGTAGCGTCAGTTGCTTCCAGTGATGGCTACATAATTCACCCCTTTCAGAAGCTCTTTCGCCTGGTTTGCTTGTAGTGCATAATTTTAGGCCCCCGTTCTCATAGTCTCATTATACGTAAATGGTAAATGGGCATTTCTCCACTTGCTTCAAAATGTGCTAAACCACCCCTGGTGTGTTTTGGGAGCCTTCTCCACATCCCCATGAATCCATTTGCTACCCCAAAGTACTCCGATGGTACTACTGAAAACTAGGAGTTTATCTTCAGTGTGGTAGTCCCAGGACTACTTGGGTCAACATCAGTCAAGGGGCTAACACCCCCTCCACAACCCTGTTTTTGAGGATGCTGACTGGGCTCAAGCTAGAGAATGTATTATATCACAAGGTTTTCCTCAACTGCGTCTCTTGCATTTAGCGTGCATTTTGTGATTGTCATGCTTGGGAAAGGTTGGGTGAGCGACTTCCTGATGGCTAAGCTCCTCCTCTTCCCTTTGGTTCTAGATCCTTCATTGAAATTTCTAACAACTGCCTCTCACGAGATCAGACGGAGCAAGTCATTGAGTCCTTGTTCAAGGAGGCCGGCTTCGAAGACAAGGAGGAGCTCACCTGGGAAGATTTTCACTACATGCTGCGAGACCATGACAACGAACTGCGTTGCACTCAGCTCTGCCTTAAAGGTCAGCCGAACTGAGAGCCCAAGCTAAGCCTCAGAGGGGTGCACAGGAGAGGGGCGTTCAGTGCAGAGGGGACCTCCTACGAGGCAGGTGCCCCAAGTGGCAGAGAAGTAGGCAGTGTATCGGAAGATGCAGCTGGGTATGTCATGCAGGCACCAACTGAATTGGCAGCAGGAGACGCTGCCACTGTTGACGTGCAAGAGGAAGTGGAGACAAGGAAGTCACCCTTGTCATCCTTCTTCCAGCTCCCAGTTTCAGACCTTCACCTACAACCTACGGCTGTTGACAAGCATGGAGAATGGGAGGGCAGACTGTGTGAGCTTGACCTTGCTGCCCTTCCTCACAAGTCCAGCTCAAGTCAATGTTTGAGACCCTGGATACTTACTGGACTAGTAGATATTTGGACTGAGCAGCTGGTCCAAAATGTCCCTCAGCTCCTTCCCTTCGCCTTCTGCCACTTCCCAAGTGCCATGAGCTTCTCGGTCACTTCCTTTTCTGTCCCCTACAGGAGCCCCTGATAAATTCAGACAAAATGCGAATAGTCGAGTCTCCTTCATAAACAAGGACAGGGGTAATGGGTAAGTAACCAGATCCTCCTCCACTCCACCCAACAATTGCTCTTCTAAGCATTAGATTATCACTGTGGTTACAGTTCCTTCGGTAAATTCCTCATTCTTACAGGAAGCAAAACAAAACCCATTGATTTTTGAAAGAGTGCTTTTCGGTGCCCTTCTATTGCATTAAGTTCTACGAAATTGTGTCATTTCACAGTTGGGGAATGTGTCAAAGGGCACAGAAGGAATCTAGAGAAACTATGAGATCACAGTATAGCTTCCAATGGGGAAGAGAGACGATGTTTATTTATTTTATTTATTGGATTTCTACCCTGCCCATCTAGACCAAATGTCTACTCTGGGCGGTTTACAAATTAAAAAAACAATAAAATCAAAAAACATATAGATTCAAGGTGGTGAAAGTACTAGAAATTAAGATACGGCAGAAGGGAAAGCTTGCCCAAATAGCCAGGTTTTAAGTATATCCTGAAAACACCCAGAGAGGGTGGCCTCCATTCCTGAAAACACCCAGAGAGAGAGCCAGATGGCCTCGTTGAATTCTGTGGTTTTACATATCAGGACAAAATAAAAATCATCTGGTCCATAGCAGGTCTGAAAATTAGGTAACTACACCCTCAGATGAACAACAACACATGACATCTTAAACCGTGCCATGATTTATTTTACAAAAACAAAGCACAAAAATGGAGAAGCCACATATGAAAAAAAATAGCACACCTTATGATTCAGTAACCTGTACAACCACATTTAGTAGCAATAACTGGAAGTAAATGTTTTGTGGATGACTTTACTACTCTTTCACATTGTTGTGAAGAAATATCGACCAACTTCTTTACAACGTTGCTTCAGTTCATTGAGGTTTGCAGGCATTTGTTTCTGCACCGTTCTTTTAAGGTCCCACCACAGCATTTCAACCGGGTCTGAATTTTGACCTGGTTGTTGCAACCACTTTGATTCTTTCCTTTTCCAGCCGTTCTGTTGTAAATTTGCTGGTGTGCTTTGGGTTTTTGCATGACTCCATTTCAGCCAAACTTTAGCTGTCCAGGCAGATGGCCTCACATTTGACTCTAGATTACTTTGATATACAGTGGTGCCTCGCTTAACGAGCGCACCGTACAACGACGAATTCGCATAGCGATCCATTTTTTGGATCGCTAATGCGAAGGCATACTGACGGTTCCAATAGGCAAAACTCGCATTGCGAAGATCGGTAAGTGCTTCGCTTACCGATCTTCGCATTGCGATGTCGGGGAATCAGCTGTTCGGTGGTTCCAAAACAGCCGCCGGACGACCCAAAATGGCCGCGCGCAGCGTTTTCACGCCCTGCCCTCGCTTACCGAGGGCGCGAAAATGGCTGCCGCTATGGGGAAACATCGCAGAATGGTGAGTTTTGTGCCCATTTGGAACGCATTAAATGAAGTTTAATGCATTCAATGGGTTTCCCCGTTCCATAAAGCGATGTTTCCCCATAGCGAAGATTAATCCGGAACGGATTAACCTTGCTATGGGGGCACCACTGTACAGAGGAAGTTCATGGTTGACTCAATGACTGCAAAATGCCCAGGTCCTGTGGCTACATAACAAATCATCATCCCTCCATCACTGCGCTTGACAGTTGGTATGAGGTGTTTGTGCTAATATGCTGTATTTGGTTTTTGCCATATGTGGCACTGTGTATTATGACCGAACATTTCCACTTAGTCTCATCTGTCCAAAGAACATTATTCCAGAAATCTTGTGGTTTGTCCAGATGCAACTTTGTAAACCTAAGCCATGCTGCCATGTTCTTTTTAGAGAGAAGAGTCTTTCTCCTGGCAACACTTCCAAACAAATCATATTTGTTTGGTCTTTTTAAAACTGTACTGTCATGAATTTTAACATTTAACATGCTAACTGAGGCCTGTAGAATCTGAGATGTAACTCTTGGGTTTTTTACAATTTCTCTGAGCATTGCACGGTCTGACCTTAGGGTGAATTTGCTTGCTTATTCGCTTCTGGGAAGGTTGGCAACTGCCTTAAATGTTTTCCACTTGTGAATAATCTTCTTCATTGTTGAACGATGGACTTTGAATTGTTTGGAAATGTCCTTATAACCCTACCCAGATTGATGGGTAGCAACTATCGCTTCTCTATAATCTTTGCTGATGTGTTTCCTCCTTGGTATTTTGTTAACACACACCTGAATGCTCCAAACCAACAAACTGCTAAAACTTTGGCTTTTATAGAGGTGGTCACACTTGCCGGTGATCAGTTACTCAAGGGCATTTGGTTAGCAGCACCTGGCTGCTTGTTGTTGTCGTTAAGTCGTGTCCAACTCTTTGTGACCCCATGGACCAGAGCACGCCAGGCCCTCCTGTCTTCCACGGCCTCCCGGAGTTTGGTCAAATTCATGTTGGTCGCTTCTTAGCTGCTACTTAGCCTCAATTCCTATGGAAGCAGTAAGGAAGTACTTTGTTTTTTACACGTGGCTTCTCTACTTTGGCTTTATTTTTGTTAAATAAATAATGACACGGTGCAATGTGTGTTGTTGTTCCTCTAAGGTTGTATTTACCTCATTTTCAGACCTGCTAAGGACCAGATGATTTTATTATGTCCTTATGACTGTATAAGAACTGTAGGTAAAATTATAAGGATAGCTTATATCCTTATAATTTGGGTTATAGTTTGGATATCCGGCTGTAGAGACAGAGGCTGGGAGTTCAATTCCCCACTGGGCCTCAAGAGAGAAAACCCAGCCTGGGTAGCCTTGGGCAAGCTGCAGAGTCCCAAGGCACCCCAGAAAACAGAAATGGGAAACCTGAAAAACCCCAAAGAGTCAGAATTTGAATAGATGACACATTATTATTATTATAAAAAGTTAAAACATTAAGTTAATGAGATTATTCTTGACTGGCTTACTTACTGGGTTATAGAAGGAGTCCTTGAACCCTACTGAAGTGTTGGCGCTTGATTTTTCTTCTTGAAAGCAGCGATGAAGATCAAATTACCAGATAGCCAGCTTGATTCCAATCTATTTCGTTGAGAAGTTTCTTCTCTTGAAAGTCATTATCTGTTCCCGTGCAGGTTCCTCCTGCATGGAGAGACTCTGAATGGAGCCGTGACATCCGAGGAATACCAAGGGCCAGAACTGCGGAAGAGGCCGGGCAAAAAGTAAGTGCATCTCCCTACATGCTAATGTCATTCTCACACTAACCCATCTCTGAAAGTCACCGGGTAGCACGGGGATTAGTGTTGGAGTAAGGATCAGGGTGACCCACATTTAAATATCCTTCTTAGCCAGTGGTCCCCAACCTTGGGTCTCCAGATGTTCTTGGAATGCAACTCCCGAAAGCCCACAGCCAGCAGTAAAGCTTCTGGGAGTTGCAGTTCAAGAACATCTGTGGAACCAAAGTTGGGAACCACTGAATATAATTATCTGATAGGGTACGGTCAGTCTAGACCAGTGGTTCCCAACCTTGGTTTTGCGGACATTCTTAGATTAAACTTCCAGAGGTCTTCACCGATAGCTGGATTTCTGGGAGTTGCAGTCCAAAAACGTCTGAGGACCTGAGGTTAGGAACCACTTAGCCTTTCTGTGTATGGATGACCTCAAGCTAGTTGCTATCCTTATAGCAACTGCTTATAGGACTGTGTGAAATTTATTGATGTTGTTCCCAAAGCCCCAATGACTAGGGGGACCAATGAAGTGTTTTTCCCCCCAGAGGTGAGATGTTTCAATTGCCAGGTCTCTGCACTTTGTAAGTTAAAGAATTAGTTTTTCCAATTCTTTATTTTTGACTCTGGCATCCCCTGGATTTGCAATGTCAGTGATCCAGACCTTTCTTCATTCTATGACTACCATGTCTGGTGTGTTATGTTCAAGATATCTATCAGTATGGATCTGGGAATCCTTCATGATGATGATGATGATGATTTTGCCAAGTTTTGGGTAGGCTTGTCTAGCAGTGCCTTCTAGAGTTCCATGCATTTGCATCTTTATTTACATGGGAAACGAAGGGGGGAAAAACACCCCTGTATGCAGATAGTACGTGGATGTCTGCAGCACCCACCTAATTATGTTACATTACTGGAAGAAAGCAAACTGCAGTTTGAGATTTGTGTAGACAAATAACCCCGAGGTTTATTTGCATTTTTTGATATATCTTGGGTCTCTACCGGTGCCTTCAGAATCACAATAGTTCCTTATTACTGTTAAGGGCCTTCTGTCTATATATCTGCCTATGATTCAACATCATGATGAGAATTGCTTATCAGGGTGTGGCAGAATCATTTCCAATGAAAGATAGTCCTGGCGTCGTGTGTGTGTGTGTTTAGTCGTTTAGTCATGTCCGACTCTTCGTGACCCCATGGACCAGAGCACGCCAGGCCTTCCTGTCTTCTACTGCCTCCCGGAGTTGTGTCAGGTTCATGTTGGTTGCTTCGCAGACACTGTCCAGCCATCTCATCCTCGGTCGTCCCCTTCTCCTCTTGCCATCACACCTTCCTAACATCAAGGTTTTTTCCAAGGACTCTTGGCGTCATAGACACAATTAAATTTTACATCCAACCATGGCTTCTTTCCTTGTGACCATCTTGGAGGCCAAAGGCTCTGGAAAGGGTTGAAACGTGTTAAGTGTCTCCTTGGTAGCAATGCCTCAGTAGGGTTTTGCCAAAGCGGTTAGCCTTCTTGAGGCCTCAGTTTCTCCACCCAATTCTGTGGAAAGGAAGGGAGGAGACGGTCATTTTTCTTGCCTCTTCCATCACCAGCCCCACCTGGCAATGTCCACCTCCAACAGCAGATTCAGGCAGTCACGAAGGGGCAGCCCATGTTTGTTTATTTAATCTGTAATTTTTAAAAAAGGGTTGCTTATTTGATTTCTTGTGCCAGTCTTCTGCTTCACGTTCCAAATTAAGTTGGCTTTTGATCCTGTAGAAGAGACTGGGTGGTGCTGTGAGCTAAACTGCAGAAGCCTGTGCTGCAGGGTCAGAAGACCAAGCAGTCGTAAGATCGAATCCACGCAACGGAGTGAGCGCCCGTTGCTTGTCTCAGCTCCCGCCAACTTAGCGGTTCGAAAGCATGCAAAATGCGAGTAGATAAATAGGTACCATCTCGGTGGGAAGGTAAACAGCGTTCTGTGTCTAAATCACACTGGCCATGTGACCACGGAAAGATTGTCTTCGGACAAACGCTGGCTCTATGGCTTGAAGAGCGGGATGAGCGCCGCCCCCTAGAGTCGGACACGCTGGACAAAAATTGTCAAGGGGAACCTTTACCTTGATCCTGTAGAACCTGGCTTGTGGGAAAGAGCGTGGAAGCCCTTTGGGCTGCTTTGCCTCAGGCAGCAAAATGTTTTGGGCAGAGTTTTGAATTTCTGGTAAAATTCCCTTTTGCTACGCAAGTAGGTGCAGAGGCCCACAGAGGTGAATAGCTGCAAGTTCCTTAAGAGTCCACCTCTTTTCTCAATAACTGATACTTACAGCCTCAATAACTCACTTTAAGGCATTTTGTAGGAGAAAGAATAAAAAATATTTCATGGCTTACAGTTGTGAACAGTTAATTTTGATTGACTGTGCATGTTGTAAAAAAAAACACCAGGCACAGTCAAAATTACTATAAAAACATTGACTGGTATTATATAACAGATACAAGTTTTAACCAAAAACCTAAGTATCTGTTAAATATCAGCGCAGCATGTATGTTGTTCCTAATATTGCAATTTTTTGTAGCTCTGATGGTGTGATTTCTGAGATCTGCAACTGTTTATAGGACTGTGTGAAATTTCTTGATGTTGTTCCCAAAGCGCCAATGACTACAGGGACCAATGAAGTGGGGGGTTTTTCCCAGAGGCGAGATGTTTCAATTGCCAGGTCTCTGCACTTTGTTAGTTAAAGAATTAGTTTTTCCAATTATTGTTGTGGGTTTTTCGGGCTCTTTGGCCGTGTTCTGAAGGTCAAAGAGCCCAAAAAACCCCAACAAGCATTAGATCCCGGCCGTGAAAGCCTTCGCGAATACAGTTTTTCCAATTCTTTATTTTTGACTCTGGCATCCCCTGGATTTGTAATGTCAGTGATCCAGACCTTTCTTCATTCTCGTGTCTGGTGTGTTATGTTCAAGGTGTCTATCAGTTTGGATCTGGGAATCCCTCATGATGAGGATGATGATTTTGCCAAGTTTTGGGTAGGCTTTTCTAGCAGTGCATTTGCATCTTCATTTACATGGGAAACGAAGGAAGAAATAAAAATAAAAGACACCCCTGTATGCAGATAGTACATGGATCGTGCATTTGCATCTTCATTTACATGGGAAATGAAGGCAAAAATAAAATTAAAAGACACCCCTGTATGCAGATAGTACGTGGATCTCTGCAGCACCCACTCAATTATGTTACATTGCTGGAAGAAAGCAAACTGCAGTTTGAGATTTGTGTAGACAAATAACCCCGAGGTTTATTTGCATTTTTTGATATATCTTGGGTCTCTACCGGTGCCTTCAGAATCACAATAGTTCCTTATTACTGTTAAGGGCCTTCTGTCTATATATATGCCCATGATTCAACATCATGATGAGAATTGTTTATCAGGGTGTGGCAGAATCATTTCCAATGAAAGATAGTCCTGGCGTCGTAGACACAATTAAATTTTACATCCAACCACGACTTCTTTCCTTGTGACCATCTTGGAGGCCAAAGGCTCTGGAAAGGGTTGAAACGTGTTAAGTGTCTCCTTGGTAGCAATGCCTCAGTAGGGTTTTGCCAAAGCGGTTAGCCTTCTTGAGGCCTCGGTTTCTCCACCCAATTCTGTGGAAAGGAAGGGAGGAGACGGTCATTTTTCTTGCCTTTTCCATCGCCATCCCCACCTGGCGATGTCCACCTTCAACAGCAGGTTCAGGCAGTTACGAAGGGGCAGCCCAAGTTTATTTATTTAATCAGTAATTTTTTTTTAAAAGGTTGCTTATTTGATTTCTTGTGCCAGGGATAAGAAGAGATACTTACAGCCTCAATAACTTACTTTAAGGCATTTGTAGGAGGAGGAATAAAAAATATTTCACAGCTTACAATTTTGAACCTATCAACAGCAACCGACGTCCAATGGACTAAAGCGAGGGAAAGAGGACTCAACCGAGAGAGTGGGGGCTTTCTTTAAATTTCAAAAACTGGAGGGAACAAATGGTTAGTGTTTGAGAGAGAGAGAGAATTACCCCAGCGCAGAAAAAGTCTCTTCCAGTCAAACAAATTACAGGCAGCATGCGAGGTTGCAATAAAACAGTTTCTCATGATTCTAAACTGTGTGGGGAACTCCTGCGAATATCACAGGTTCCCTCATTACAGCTTGGGGAGGATGATCTGGGTCGGGCGAGAACCATTTTTTTGCCCCTGTCTCTTTCCAAATGATCAACATGAAGCCAGTGTGGGCTTGCGGTTGCGACGCTTGGCTGGGCAAACCAAATCCCCACTTGCCCACGAAGCTTGCCAAGATGCCATGAGTCAACAACTGCCTTTATTTCACAGAATTGTTGTGAGGTGTAAAATGAGGTGGACGGGTGGGAGGGCTACAGAATTCAAATATGACACATAAATACTGTATTTTTCTGTGTATAAGACGCCCCCACTTTTCTAACCAAAATTAATAAATCTAAGTGGGGCTTAGCAAGTGAAGGGGAAAGCAGGGATCAAAGCCCTGCAGTATCACTTTGATCCCTGCTTTCCCCTCCACTTGTTTTTGTTCTGTCCTCAGCTTACTTCCGTGTATAAGACAACCCTCAATTTTTAGTCTAAAGATTTTAGACAAAAGTATAGTCTTATACATGGAAAAATACAGTAAATAGAGCTGTCTCTTCCGATTGACCCGGCACCCTCCCGATGGGACAGGGCGAAAACGTCCACCCTCGTCAACTAGCATGGTGGTGTGTTTTGAGGGCCAAAAGGTGACCTGAAAGGGCATTCAAATATTTTATTTTTAAACAAGAAAAACAGCTTTGTACTCTTGCTCATTCATACGCTCCCATGGACCATTTCCCCCCGTCTTTCCAGGCTTTCATTTCCACCCGCCCACCTCTACACTGAGGCACGTCGAGAGAGGTACCAGAGGGGCCAAATTCACCAGAAGATCCAGCAGTTCAAGCGGTTCATTGAGAACTACCGCCGCCACATCATCTGCGTGATGATCTTCTCTGCCATCACAGCTGGGGTTTTTGCAGAGAGAGCATACTGTGAGTGAACTAGCCTATTTAAATGCCACCCGAGTGGGTTTTAGCGGGGCCTGAAACGCTGGCTCGCTCTTTTGGGGCCAAAAGGCCATACCTTCTCACAATGGGGATAGCTGGACCCTAGTCTCCAGGTGGGTTGACCAGTGGCCGCTGCCTCCAGAGAGAATGCTATTTACGCCTCGTTCTGCAGCACAAACGAACAGTCTGACTCAAAGGACTGCCTCCTGCTGCAAGCGTATTCATTCTTAACCAGGGAAGTTTGCTGTTTTTGGCTACTGTGTTGTTGACTCAGAAATCTAGATCGATAGCTCTTAATCCCAGTTGTTGTGCAAAATGGAAACACTGAACTGGGCACACACACACACACACACACACACACACACACACACACACGAACCCTCACACGCTCCACCCCTACTTGGTAAAGAAGAGAGGCTGTGAGGAAAACATTGCACTGAAAGCTATTTATTACAGAGTCACTTTGGGCCACTTAGAATTGTTTTATGGGGCCATGTTGTTTCTGAGGGAGTCAACACAGCTGGCCAGGCATGGAAGGCTGTTTACAATCTGAGCCGGCATAAGCCAGAGCGCCGTGTGCGATATATAATGATGGCCTTAGACAAAAGAAACCAAAAGAAAGATTAAAAAATAAAGAAGGCAAAGATGTTGTGGCATCTTAAAGACTAACTCCTATATTTGAACGGGAGCTTTCATGGACAAGTCCACTTCCTCAGACTTGTGCGCTTGCCCACAAAAGCTCAAGTTCAAATATAATCTTTAAGGTGCTGCAAAGTTTTTGCCTTCTTTATTTTTTTTAATCATTCTTTTGTTTTGGCCTCCTAGGCTGGCACAGACTAACACGGCTACCGCCTTTAACAATACAGTGGTGCCTCGCATTACGAGAGCTCCATTTTATGACGAAATTGCTTTACATTGAAAGTTTTGCGATTGCAAAAGCGATCGCAAAACGATGTTTCCTATGGGGGAATTTTGCTTTGCGATGATCGGTTCCCTGCTTCGGGAACCGATTCTCGCAAAGTGATGATTTTCGGCCGGCTGATCGGCGGTTTCAAAATAGCCACCAGGTAAAAAACATGGCTCCCCGCTCTTTTCTGGGACGGATTCCTCGCTACACAGGCAGCGAAAATGGCCGCGCTATGGAGGATCTTCGCTGGACGGTGAGTTTCAAGCCCCTAGGAACACATTAATCGGGTTTTAATGTGTTTCTATGGGCTTTTTAATTTCGCATTACGACGTTTTCGTTCTACAGCGATTTCGCTGGAATGAATTAACGTCATCATGCGAGGCACCACTGTACTCTTAGAACTGCAGAGCTGGAAGAGACCCTATGGATCATCAAGCCCAGTCTTTCTCAAGGAAGCACAGTGAGGAATCGAACTCCTAACCTCTGGATCGTCATCCAGAGACCTAGACTACTAAACTATACAGCCTGACCTTTGTGAGCATCTTCACAAGTAATGACTTCTGTTTTGTTCCTAGATTATGGATTTCCATCATCTTCCATGGGCATTGGAGAAACCACCTATGTTGGCATCATCATATCTCGTGGGGCAGCAGCTAGTATCTCCTTCACGTATTCATTCATCCTCCTCACCATGTGTCGAAACTTCATTACGTTTCTGCGAGAAACGTTTCTCAACCACTACATCCCCTTCGATTCCGCTGTGGATTTTCATCGCTGGATCGCAACAGGAGCCCTGATCTTTTCAGGTAGACTTTGGGGAACTCTGCTCACACTCTCGTCACCAAATGCATGCCCAGATTCATATCACTGGGGCTTATGGTCAAACTAGATGGCACGCTCAGCATGTTTTTAGAAGATGTGATCCGCCAAGTGGGAAAAGAGATCTGTTTGTCATGGCATATTATTTTCTTCAACTGTATATGTGGCCTCTGGCATGCTTTCTTTGTGATTGGCCATTGCAAGGTAAACACAGGCTTAATGTGCATATCAAATTGCAGAGGCATATATCTCTGAATAAATTCTGTAGTGGGAAAGAAAGTGAGTTAATTTATAGGAAATAATTCATTCTCTTTAATATATAGTTTGATCCTAAGAACAGCATAAGAAACACCATTTTGGTGGTACCAAAGGTCATTCTAATCCAGTAAGGGGCAAATGGTGTGGCTTTCCAGTGTTGTGTTTTATCTGCAGCTCCCATTATACCTGACCATGCTTACTAGAACCGATAGGAGTTGTGGTCCCATCAATGTACATTGCCCTAGTCCAGCATCCTGTGTCCCAGGCTGGCTTGCCAGATGCCTTTAAGAAGCCCACCTACAAGGCATTAATGGAGTACCTTTCCATTGCTGTTGCTCTCCAGCTGCCTGCTTGTAGAGGCATGCTACGTATTTCTAAACCAAGGGTTTCTATTTTGCCATTGTGAGTGACTAAATAGAATATTTTGCATGATGTACATGGACCCAGTGCATTTCAGCGGCTTCCAAACTGGGCTGGCTGGATAGCTTAGTGGTTTAGGTATCTGGTTGAGAGTTTGATCCTCCACTGTGCCTTCATGGAGAAGAACCAGCCTGTGTAGCCTGGGGCCAGCTGCACAGTCCCCAGAAAAGGGAAGGATCAGCCTGACCATTCCCTATCTAGAAAACCATGAAAAGGGTTGACATCGGTCAGAACTGAATTGATGGCACATTATTATTATAATTAACATGCCTTGTTTTGCCGCTCCATTTGTGTTGGAAAGTGCTGATGTCATTCTTCCTTCTTGTTCGAGCCATTTATATTCCACCCCTCTACACAAATGTTCTCAAGGAGGCCGGCCAGCCAACTAAAAGGTTCTGTGGTTGGGAGTTCGATTCTCCCCCAGGCCTCCTTGGCAGGGGCTGGACTTCATGAACCATAGGGTCCCTTCCAGCTCTTGCAGTTGCAAGATGATGATGATTATTATCCTAGCTCCTTTCTGGCACCATGTTTCCTATGCATTCTTAATTGTAAGTCATAATCATTAAAAGAGAACATTGCTTTTACCCGTATTTTTCGCTCCATAAGACGCACCTTTCCATAAGATGCACCAATTTTTTAGGAGAAGAAAACAGGAAAATATAACCTGTTTTCTTCGCTCCATAAGACGCACAGACTTTCCACCCCCCCTATTTTGTTTGGAAAAAGTGCGTCTTATGGTGCGAAAAATACGGTAATT